GAAAAACTTATCGTACTTACCACAAGCCAGCGTGGACAACGGCTGGGCTTGTAGTGTAGCTTTCCTCTAGCTGACGTACCCAGGCTAGGGTGAGCGTGATGGAGTTGGGTCGGCTGGGGTGTTCGGTGGATTGGCTTTCGGATTCATCGTGGCACGAGGGGTGGCTGCCCGTTGCCTGCTGGGGACGGGGGCAAAACCTGAGGTGTGGTGAGATTGGTTAAAGGGGGTTATGCGAAGGGTCCTATCACGGCCTCTTTCCGGTATGCCGTGGTGGCATGTCGGCACACGGAAACGTGTCGTAGGGCTGTGTCTTGTGGGTATAGTTGTACATCTTTGATCAGAGTAAAACTATTCGAATAGCCGTGTCCGCGGTTATGGGCGGTCGACCAGATTCACCGTGATTAGTCTCACCAATAGTATGGCTCAATGGAACTAGTTAGTTCAGGTGGTGGGTTGGGCCTGTTTTAACGTGGTATAGCGTTGAACAGTGATGATTAATTACTACAACGGTTTTACTGCTTTCAACTACTTCTTTTAAATGCTAGCTTTATGCAAATAACCCCTAGCCTCCTTTGGATATATCTTACATCATATCTTCCCTTCTGATATGACTTGCTGAGTACAGTGTTTAGTACTCAGTTTTGATCTCTCTTCCCCACACCAGAGCTGAAGTTCTTCCCAGTGGAGCTGTCTCAAGGAAGTTGTTTCGTCGCTGCCATCAAGGATGCCTTTGGAATGGAGTCGCCTCGCTACAGGAGTCAAATCTTCAAGCTTAGCTCGTTTTTATCTTTTTCGTGCATTTGTAATCTTTTATATTTTCGTAAGACGTGGATCTGCATTTCAGCAATTGTCATTTGTGTACTCTGGCTGGTCCTGGACAGGGGTTTTAATATACATTCAGTTTAGAAATTCTGGTTCGTGAATTTCTGGGCGTGACACGCGAGAGCCCTGTTTCATTCCTGGAGATCTGCCTCGACAACGACGGGTTCCACGGCGGTAGTGACAGGGGTCGCGCCGCCACGAGACGAAGGGCAGCCTTTGTTGCCATATGCCCACAGCACCGCAGCCACGACGACGACCACCACCACCACGGGTTTCTGGAGGGAGGCGACAGCTGCTTGAGAAGCCCAATTGAGATTGTAAATTGATGTGAATGCGATGAATGGATGTTTTCGTTGGTTCGAGACTGATTAATTTGTCAATTTGAGAATGTTCGATTCTGCAATTTGAGATCAGTATTGAACATACATACATGGCATATATGCATAGGGACTTGTATGCTATGGAGTACTTTCTTGCTTGCAAAATGGGCAATGGCGAAAGATAGCTGAGCCAGACTGTCGGACTGCCGGACCTGAGCCAGACTGCCGGAGTACTACGGAGTTTATTCTCTGGTCGCACCTGAGCCAGACTGCCGGACGGGATGACGAGCGGCCGCCGGCTGTCGGCTGATGGCCACGAGGAATTGGGAGCGATCCCGATTTTCCTGGCAAAGGAAACGAGCTCTTTCTTCAAACGGGCCGTCCTATTTCGGTGACTGGGCCGAGCGCGAGCCTGTTTGGACGCCTCACTAGTGTGTCCATCCGATGCAGAATGAATGCCACAGCTGCGCCGGACATCCCTATGACGTAGCGAGTGCAGCGAGTGCTACATAAGAGGATTGGAACCATCCAAAGATGGGCAGAGCAAAGAGCATGGCAAAATTTGCTACAGAATACTCAAAAAATGTGGTCTTTACCGAGGGACATCGGAAGAACGTGAATTTGCTCAGAGACACTAAAAAACGTGGTAATTTGCTGATAGACAAAATACACATTATTTTATGATTTTATGCTATCTTGGAGAGAGAATTTTCACAAAATGACATATTTGCCCCTGGGACCAATTAGTACATAGAGTTTTGTTTTCCTTATAAATCAAGTCCCTGGTGCGAGCAGCAGCTGAGGCATGGCCTTGCCGGCTGAAACTCCTTCACGGCGATGCCGACGGCGAACGGCGACTCCTCAGATGATGCGGCCAAAAAGAGAAAGATGCGCAGGCTTCTTGCGAACCCGACGATGGTCGTCTTGTAGCCGGAGGTGGCCATAATTGACGCCAGCGGCAACGCGAGCGGTGGCGGCAGCGGCTTCAAGGCTGCGGTGCAAAACAAGTTACGGGCTCAGTCCGGCCTAGATGATGCATGCATGTGTTTTCTTCAGGCTCTAGTGTACTCACCAAGCTGTGCACAAGCCCTGGTGATGCTTGAACAGCGGCAGGTTCGTGTAGAGCAGCTCGGTGGCGGCGAAAAGCCCATGGGCGACGGTTCCAGTCCGGCCGAGCCAAGGAGCTGATAGTTCGATGCTACCAAGATGTTAATAGAGACCTAGAGACGCTACATTCACGAGGAATCGGCTTCTAACTCACCAAGGACGACGGAATCGAAGATGCCGGAGGTTGGCCAGAGTTTGGAAAACGATGGCGATCTCATGATTCACGGTATCTCGTCTCGATTGCTTGGGTCGAAGGGCTCCTAGGGTCTCAGTGATGACGATGGCGCGGTGGATGGCCCGGCCATGCACCGTGGCGGCCGGAACGCAGAGATGGTCTTGACAGTAGCGCAGAGAGCACGCTCCGGGGTCACGTCGGCATGACGGTGTTCCCATCGATCTACTGCACGAGAGAGGGTGAGGTCATAAGGTAAAACCTTCGGCATGATGATATGAATAAGGAACAGGGAAGATCGAGATGATGGCGAGCTCTGCTTGACGACTTATGGCAACTCCTCCTTCTTGGCGGCCGACGATGAGGAGGATGGCGAGGAGGATGATATGTAGCTCTCAGCTTCAGTTCCTTGGCAGTGGGGTGGAGAGTGACAAGAGATGACGATGTTGGGAAGATAGAGGGCGAGGGGAGCGGCGGCCACGTCCTCGGACACGCATCGACGGCGTCCTGCCACGCACTCTCTCTCGGCGCCACGGCCGCGTTGGAGCTCTAGCACTGCGGTCATGCGACGGCGGGGTCGCTGCCATCCGGGACGGAATGGTAGCGACGGTAGGGATGCCCTCCCCGTGCGCGGGCGGTGTATGGCGATGAAGAAGAGTGTAGAGGTTGGGAAGAAGGAATAGAGGGTAAAATAGACAATTTACGTGGTTTCTCTCTCCTCAAATGAGTAAATATTATATTTTAATGCTCATGGTGTCCTATAGTAAATTATCACTTTTTTTGAGTGTCCCTGAGAAAATTCATATTCTTATGATGTCCTTCAGCAAGGACCATATTGTGTCCTGTGGTAAAATTTGGTAAAGAACATCTTTTGAACAGTATTCCCAAAAATCCTACGAAAATTCTGCAATCCAAAGGAGGCCTCAATCTATTTCATCCATTTTTTATTAAAAAAGCAGCGCATGCATTTCAAAACCACTTACCTAATTCTAAAATATCTCAAATCAAGGTGAAACATGATAATCAAAATAAAGAAAATGCATAAGCTCTATATAATTTAAAGTCTATAGAACAGTTCGTAGGACTTATGCTGCTCCCCTGGTTTCACTCGATCTATAATATCCTAAATCAAACATTTTAATCTGTTACCATCAATTTTATAAACTCATATAATTTAACAAGTTCGAGTTATGACAAACCTACAAAGGTGACTAATTTGAAACGGACGAAAATAATCCTACATGTTATACTCTTTGAGAGCATCTGTTTTTACTCTTCGGCACAACTGTTTTTGTCAGAGTCGACATTATTTTTTAGAAATTATTCAGATTTTTTTTAACAATATATACAGCAATATGGTAGGTGGTGATGAAAAATGGTGAACAGATTAAAATGTTTGATTTAGGATATTATATATGGTTCACAAAACACAAGGAGAGAATGCTAGGTAAAAAAAAAAACAAACTAGCCCTCATATGCTATTCCTACATCTCCTTTTCTCCTGCTATATTTCAACTTTCATATGAGAAGAAAAGAATAATGCTGCGACGACTCCATCTATCCTATGGTTGTGTTAATTTGGAGGGGTCCCTTCACATGCAAAACTGAACGACGAATTAACGAATTAACGCATAATTAATTAAATATTAGCTAAAATAATTAAAAATATGTTAATATGATTTTTTAATAGCAATTTTTGTATAGAAATGTTTTGCCAAAAAAAACACGTATCGTTTAATAGTTTGTGAAACGTGCGCGTGGAAAACGAGAGAGATGAGTTTGAGAACTTTGAGGTATGGCTGTGTTCTTCCCTTCCTTTCCCAACTAACTTTCCTTGTTTTCCACAGACATGTTTTATAAACGGTTAAACGGTGCGTTATTTGCAAAAAAAATTCTATAAGAAAGTTGCTTTAAAAATCATATTAATCTTTTTTAAAAAAAATAAACTGATACTTAATTAATCATGTGCTAATAAGTTGCTCCCAACACAAGAAAATACAACTATATAGGCCTTGTTTAGTAGACCTCCAACTCCTAAATTTAGGGCCATTTTTGATACCAATTGTTTGGCAATTCAAATAGTAGTTTGATTGGTTTGGATTAGAGCCAAAGCATTGGCAATGCCCATACTTGATTTGGTAGCACTCTAGAATTTTCTTCACTATAAAAAGCATATTGGTAGCAAATGGTAGCAAACCAAACACATATTATATGAACTCTACCCTATCAAAAAATTGGTAGTACTAAAATTTGCCTATATTTTGGCACTACAATTGAATTGGTAGGATAGAGAACCAAATAGACTCTTACTTATAAGGGTTGAGTCTAGAGTGAAGTTGTGAAGCTGTCTAAACCTAGCTCTACCTCTCTAGTTCATTTTGCAAGAGAGCTTCACCCAGCTCCGCTTCCATTTTAAGTGAAACTCCCATACTATTAGTAAGCAACCAGCAGCATTCTGGTAAGCTCACCGCCTCTAGCTTGGGCCAGAAAAAAAAAAAGCTAACCCCAAAAAAGAAAAAAAGGGGCAGAATGGTGGTAACCTTACCGCGCCCGAAACCCTTGTCCCCCACCCGACCCGCCCCTCCCCGCACGCGCGCACCTCCCGCCTCCTCCCTTCCTCCGCCTCCGCGCCCTAGAACCTTCCAGAAGCGGCGGCCAAGGCGGCGTGGAAGCTCCAGGTGCGCGCCACCCCGCCCTCCGGAACCTTCTGGAAGCTCTCGGGGAGGGGGGAAGAGGTGGGTGGGTGGGAGGATGGGGACGTCGGATCTGGACCGGCAGATCGAGCAGCTGAAGCGGTGCGAGCCGCTGACGGAGGCGGAGGTCAAGGCGCTCTGCCTCAAGGCCATGGAGATCCTCGTCGAGGAGAGCAACGTCCAGCGCGTCGACGCCCCCGTCACGGTGACCGCCCCCCTTCCCCCACCCTTCCCCTTCCATCTCAGTTTCGTTCGATTCGCTTCTGACGATTTTTGGGCGATTACGATGAGCTTTGCTGATGAGGAGTAAGAAGAATTCGATTCTACTGGTTTCGGTAGCTGGATTTGTGGGCGTAACTCCCCTGTGATTGTGATGAGCTCGTGCTTGGATTACGGTTCTAGGGTTTGCCTGTATCCACTGGATATGCTTGTATCATCGTCCTTAGGATTGTGGTTTTGCGAGGAAAATGTTAGACTTTCTTGCTGCGTCGTTGGGGAGAATGCTGCTGTAATGTGTATGCTTAGCTCGATGGTTATGCTTATGTAATGTCCCGATTTATTGGGAGGCATATCTATATTCTTTTTTCCTGTTCAGTTCCAGGGCTTTGGTGAAAATTGCTGGTATTGTGTGTGCAGCAATGTGGTGGTTTGGGTATTTAGTGCATTTTTGTGCTTGATTGCTGGTGTACTAGTTGAATTGGTCACACTTTCCATGATTTGAAATGGTTCATGGAAGTGTGTAAGTACCCTAGAGATCTCAAGTGCTGAGGATTTTTCCACATTTTGCGATTTGGATTCTTGCATGTTTTAGTAACTTAGTTTGTTGTATTTATTTGTTTACCTAATTGTTTGATCTGACAGCAATTATTGGAACATGAAAGGCTGTAACTTCTACTCGATTAAATCCTTGAAATCAACTTCTTTTAGAATTGCAGCCGACCTGATTGTATCTGCATTGTTTGGAAGATTTAGGGCCTGTTTGGCACAGCTCCAGCTCCAGCTCCACCTCTCTTGGAGCTAGAGCCCAGCCAAACAGTTTCAGCTCTACCTAAAATGGGAGTGGAGCTGGGTGAAGCTCTCTCATAAAATGAACTAGAGAGGTGGAGCTGGGTTTGGGCAGCTCCACAACTCCACTTCAGACCCAATTCCTGGAGTTAAATTTAGGAATTGGAGACTTATTTCTATGAGGAACTGGTAACTTGGTTCAGTGAATACATGCAACAACTATTCACTCCAGCATACATGTGTTTATCCAACATTCCAACCATTAAACACTGCACAGCTGCGTGAGTTTATATGCAGATGATAAGTATATAGATAGATTGTTCCACTAACTTGAAATCTTGAATCTACAATTTTGTTTGCAGCAGCATTTGCTTGCAGAATAAAGCTAGAGTAGTGTTGTTATTTTTACGCTGTCTTTTTGTAATGACTTTCTCTGTCTGGTTGTATTTTATTCTGAAAATTATGTTGATACAGCTGCCATTTTCTACTTGGTTAACTTAAAGCTACAGCTTCCATTAATTCTTGTAAACACATTTCTCTTGGAATTCTTGTAAAGCTGGGATAAAGCTACAGTGGGCTCCATCATTTTTCCAAAAGACAAGCTCCATAGCCTGGCAGTCGTTCTTTCTCTTGAAATAGTGTCAAACTGAATTAACTTAATATTCTGAAGATTAGATACAGCTGCCATTTTTCTACTTGATTTCATAAGTTAAATCATTCTAGCTCTTTGCAAAAGCATTATATGAAACATGATCTAATCTTATTTTTGTTGTATTGGCGCACAAGAAAGCATTGATTAGGCACGAATTGCGGTTAAATGATATGTATTGGATGGAAGGATGGTAAATTAATGTAAAAGCAACTTTTATTATCAAACAAAGCTAGAGTCCTGAAATGATTTATATTGTAAAATAGAGGAGTTTTGGACTTGCACAATAGCATATCAGTCCCACATAGGTAGGGTAATCCAGTCTCCCAACCTCATGGTAGAATTTTATTGACTGAACACAACCTAATAACCCAAAATAACCAGTTAATGCCAAGCTTAGTTGCAAAGCATACTTGCATCATGTAATTGGAACATTCTTCCTGGGTCATTATCCTAGTGTTAATGGGGGTATGATACAGCAAATATCTTACTACTGGATATTTCATTAGTTATTTCTCCATAAGTTCAGAAAAAATGTTATTGCGCTAAGTAATATTTTTCTGCTGCACTCAGATATGTGGAGATATTCATGGACAATTCTATGACATGAAAGAACTATTCAAAGTTGGGGGTGACTGCCCAAAGACAAACTACTTGTTCCTTGGGGATTTTGTTGATCGAGGATTTTATTCTGTTGAAACATTTTTGCTTCTGTTGGCCTTAAAGGTATGCTGTTGACACTTTTAAGAATTTTTGGTGTATCTACTTGTTTGTATCTTGCAATATATGTTGATGCTATTCTCCAAAGAAATTGTAAGGAGTACACATGCAATTACCATGCTTTTAGTGTTTATACAGATAAATTAAGGAAAATGGTCACAATGCTCCTCATGTATAGCTGGGTATATGACCTAGTTAAGTAGAAACCTGTTTTTGGAACAATGGCTGATGGCCAGATTGAAATCGTAACATACAAATTTATGCTGATTCCATGAAACCTCTATATTGTGGAATAACATGAGTTAATTATAATATCTCTAATTATAGATAACTTCTTTTGCTAGAATAGATTTGCAGAGTATATGTTGACTATTATTTGCAATAATGCCTAGCTTGAATTGGGGCGAATATTTTAGTAATGTCATTTGCACCTGATTTATGTATTGAATGTATAACTGTAAGGTTGTTAAATGTTAACTACAAACTCAGCCACCCACTAGCCATTTCTATTCATGAAAAAGCTAAAAAAATAAGTGATATAAATGAAACTATAATTCAGTCATCAACAAGAAAATAAAAAAGAATGTATCTAGAACTAACCTGATTTGCTAGAAAACCCTGGAAGGATGAAAAACTAACATAAACAATTGATATCCTAAACAGTTGTTCTGTTTGAAGTTTCAAGTTCATGTTATTTAGTTACCCATCCTAACTGCTGTGGTAAATATGCATACAGGTTAGATACCCAGATCGTATAACTTTAATACGAGGAAACCATGAGAGCAGACAGATTACACAAGTAAGGAATCCTTTTAAGCTCATACTACACTAATGTTATGAAAAAAAATATCTTGTCATTGAGCTTATGCATTCTCTGCAGGTCTATGGTTTCTATGATGAGTGTCTTCGTAAATACGGCTCAGTGAATGTCTGGAGATATTGCACAGATATATTCGACTATTTAAGGCAACTTTCTTACTTTTTTTGTTATGAATTAAGAATTTTGCTTCTTTAGTTTAAAATATACAAAAACTGATTGCAGCTTATTTCTCCCTTCAGTTTGTCTGCACTCATTGAGAACAAAATATTTAGTGTCCATGGAGGCCTTTCTCCTAATATTACAACTCTTGATCAGGCAAGTTATTCTCCATTTTTATTTTTAATTTATGCATTCTATTTCTGTTATTGACATATCATGTACCCTCCAACAGATAAGAGTAATAGATCGCAAGCAAGAAGTACCTCATGATGGGGCCATGTGTGACCTTCTTTGGTCTGATCCAGAGGATGCTGTAGATGGTTGGGGATTAAGTCCACGAGGTGCAGGATTCCTATTTGGTGGAAATGTTGTTTCTTCTTTTAACCACACAAACAACATAGACTATATTTGCCGTGCTCATCAACTAGTCATGGAAGGGTTTAAGTGGATGTTCAATAACAAGATTGTCACTGTATGGTCTGCTCCTAACTACTGCTACAGGTACCTTATTATTCAGCTAACATTATAATTATTTTTGAAGTGATCAATCCTGTATATTTTATCTGTTGACAATGATCAGATGGTCCATGTTTGTTTTGATCACTAGTACTACCCAAAATGGGTTGGGAATGGATTGGCTTGCAGGCAATGAGGATCAGATGGGGGTATACTGATTGTGTGAAAAAATAAAAAGATCGATAACATAAGATGGTCTATTGTTCTATTAATATCTCGAACAAAGCTATTTATGGTTTCTACTGTTCTGATCTTTTTGTATATTATTATGTTTGGGTTGCTAAAAATAACCTTTGTGTGGGCTATGCTTTTGCAGATCTGTGATTCTTGTATTTTAATCCCCTCACAGTGTTCTTAACCCTTTGAAATTGTCAGGTGTGGCAATGTTGCTGCAATCCTAGAGCTTGATGAGAATTTGAATAAGCAGTTCCGTGTATTTGAAGCTGCCCCACATGTATGTGTTAACGACCTTTATCATTACCTCTTGAACACATTATTGATTAGCATCTAAATTTGCCCATATGTGCATTCAGGAATCAAGAGGTGTTCCTGCAAAGAGGCCAGCGCCAGATTACTTTCTGTGAGGCCGCAGATTCAGCAGTGGGTACAGCGTATCCTGCAAACAAGCACCGGCGGATTAAGTCTTGCGAGCTCCCATTTTCTGAGATGAGCTGAGCTCATGCTTTACAAGACTCTTAAGCCAGGAGTGCTTTCGAGATGTATAAATTGATTTTATGTCCCCAGTCCTATCATTTGTAAGCCAAGAGAGTGGCTCACATTTGAGCTTGAGAAAATGCCCCTGTGAAGGGAGTGGTGTAGATGAGGCCACTCCTTTGATTCCATGGGTGTGCGTTGGTCCATGATGTAAAATTTTGTTGCTAGCCCGTTTGCCCCCTAGGAAATCCTGTGCTGGAGAATGATATGCAAATGCTGTGCCTGAGTATTTATTGTTGTCAGAATGCAAATGCAGGAAGTTTTGTAGTTGGCATTTGTACAAACTGTCCGAAGAATGCATATCCATTCCTGCTAGGAAATGCCAGTATGTGATGGTAGAATGGTTCTTGTGTTTCTGTTTGTTCCTTTATCTGTGTAAGCTAAGCTGCTTATAAAAAAATATGAAACGGATAGAGTAGCTACTTATAAAAGCTCAGCGTTCAAATGGAATGGTAGTTGCGAATCGTAGATTGTCAAAATGCCATCTACTGTGACAATAAGGGCTCTTCTTCTTCTTTTTACAAGGGCTATGTGATGATCTATGGGCAAATTTTTTGAATAATATTTTTAATAGCCTTGGGAGACTAAGTCAGAAAAAAAAAAGTAGTCATGTCACATGCCTAAAACCAATTGCTGAGAAGCAAACGGGAACAAGGCCCCCAAAAAACCAAAACTCCATGGATGTCTTTGGGTTGGCTGTAGAGGGAACGGTTAAGAAAAAAGATAGAATCACTTTTCTCTGATCGGTCCATCAACGTGGTCAACTTGTTATATCAGGGCACCGCCGGAAGAGGACAAAGTTCTTAAGGAAAGGCTAAAATTGAACAGATCTTCAAACGGCTCCTCCATGAAGGTTAAGACGTCGAGAACGCTGCTGTCACCCATCCTCAGGGGCATACCTATTAAGGCCAACAAGGGTCCTTGGACACCGGTAAAAAATTTCTTTACAGATATAAGCTATGTATTTGTCACATCCTAATTTTCGTTTTAGGATTTATAAATTATTTAATAAATTATTATTAGAATTTATATTAAATGTTCATTAATTTACAAGTGAAGTTAAATGTGGAAAATAAAATTTTCTAAATATAAAGCATGGATGGATTTAATTTTTATTAAATTCTCCATGGTTAATTATACTCTCTGGAATTTTCTCGGATTTTTCGGAGCTCAATTCCTAATTTTAATCATATAAAGAACATTTCAGTAATTATCCGCATATTAAATTAATCATTAAATGGTATGATTATAATTTTTTTAAGTACTTTGAGTGTCCAAGTATTTTCAGGACTTTTCTTGAAATTATTTGAGCATTGGAAGTATTTTTAACAATTCAAAGATCATTTCAGTGATTATTTTAATTGGAAAAGGTTTTTAAATCTTCTCCTAAGCCGTTGGGCTGATTTCAGCCCAACATCTCTCTCCCTCGCGCGCGTGCTGTGCAGCCCAAGCCGGCCCAAGTCAAGTTGCTCTGTTCTGTTCTCAGCCAACCTAAAAAGTCTAATTTGCCTCCCTCGACACTGTTCATCTTCTACCTCTAGCAGCCGAACTGAGACCGAGTGGGCTCGGTTTTTCCCCTCCAAATCCGACCTTTTCTCTTGTGTTTTCCTAAAATTAGTTGAGGGGAAATATTTCCTTTATCCTCCTCTATCCTTTCCCCCAACAATCGGACTTTATCCCGAAGAAATCAACGCGGAATCGAATTCGTTTTCGAGTTTATCTCTCCAACTAACCCTCGGATTTTCCGGCTCAAATCCTCTCGTTTGGAGTCCGATCTCTCTAATCCAAGGCTATAAAAAGGACCCCCTAGTCGCCCTCTTTCGTTTGTCCCATCTCCCGAGTTCTCTCGTGCTCCGTAGCGCCGCCGCCACGCCGAGCAAGCCGCCGCCGTCGCCGGCCGACGCCCAGCCGCGCCGCGCCGTCGATTCCGTCGTCGCCGCCGCTTCCCCTCGCCGCCGTTAGGTGCGCACGGAGGTGAGGAACCTCGGCCGCCCTCTCCCCGCTGTCGCTGGTCGCCGGAGACCCGTCGCCGCCGTAGACCGAACCGCCGCCGCCGCACAAGCTCGCCGCCGGCCGTCATCCGTCGTTCGTCGCGTTGGTGAGTATCGTTGAGATCGCGTCGTCGTCCTCTACGCGTAGGTGCCCTCCAAAAGTCCGGCCGAGTCTCCTAGCGCCGGCGAGGTCGTCGCCTATGTCGAGCCGACGTTGATGATGTCATCATGACGTCATATTCCCTTTTTTCTCGGTTTTCTTTTTAGATGAAAATCGATTAAACTTCGGAAATTCATAACTAAATCATCGTAACTCGGATTCGAGTGGTTCAAGTTGCTAAATTTTTCTAAAATCAATATCTACATGTTAAAAATATCCACATGTACTGTTTATGCTTTTTTTTTAACTGTTTTGTTGATTTTGTTCATTTGCTTTAGTTTTCCGATGTTCCGGAGGAGAGCGTTTTCGTTGAGGAAGGTTCGGAAGTGTTTGCGGAAGTTCAAGGCAAGTCACACAGATCCCAAACAACCCTTTGAGCATGTTGAACCTATTTAAAGCTAATGTTTTATTTCAACTTATGCATTATTTTCGAATGTCATCGGGTGGTTGAGACTTTCCCAAATTAATTAATGGCCGAAGATGACTTTATTTTTCTATGGGTTATAATTTGATTAGCTAGAACCTTATATATTGGTTTGGTTCAGCTAAATGATATATATATATATATATATATATATATATATATAATTGCTTAGCCATGCTTAGAAACATTAGCTAATTAATGGGATAAATCATAAATCATCTTACATTATTAATTATGGTTATATTTAATGGTAGCTCACGATGGTTAATCGTGTAATGTTAATTAATTGAGAATTAAAACCTGTTTAAGGTGGGTTGTGAGCACATGGTTTTGAAGGTCGTGCTCATGGCAATTAAGGACCGGTTCGCGAGCTACTGTTGTGAAACATTAACTGTGCCAACCACAAGCCAGCGTAGGCAACGGCTTTACCTTTTGTATAGCATGATTCATTACGGGGCACCAGACTGAGAAGCGGCGAGAAGTCCGTGGGGGTCGTTGGGGAGTCTATGCCTCTAGTTATATTTATAGATTATGATCCAGGAATGGTGCACTGTGGTGAGTTGTGTTGTGCAGGGGGTATTGTCACAGCCTCTATTCGGGTACTTTCCGGTATCGCGACGCATGGTAGACATGATGTTGAGGCTGTGTCTTGTGGGTACAGTGGTACATCTCTGGCCAGAGTAAAACTATTCGAATAGCCGTGCCCGCGGTTATGGGCGGGTATAACAATGTTTTTCGTGATTAGTCTCACACTACTCATTAATGGTAATAATGTGATAATTAATTTGACTCCTGGTTTGGAATGGATAATTCCTGGTTTGGAGGTTTGATCTGTATGACCGGGGTTGGTTGTTCAGGTTTGGTTGGGCCTATGCAGCCTGGGTGTGCTGTTCAGTGTTGATTAATATTGATGATTAATTACTTTACTATTTTACAAATTCTCAACTCTTTGCTAAATGCTGCTTTCGCGAATGAACCCTATATTATGCCATCCTTTGGTATACTTGTGCACTTGCATATTTGCTGTGTGGCTTGTTGAGTATGTCATATGCTCATTCTTGCAATAATCAATCAAATCTCAGTTGAAGAAAAAGGATCCAGAAGGAGAAGACGTTTGGCTTATACCCCAGTTGAGCTGCCTGTGGGAGTGGAGCTGAAGCCATCGCTAGACCGTTAATTCCGCTGCTGTTTTCTTTTCTTTTGTAAGTATGTAACGTTATTATTATGATAGATTTGTATATTAAATTGTCAGTTTGTGTACCTCGGCTGATTCCTGGACGAGGGTTTTATGCACAAATAAGTTTGGAAATTACTAGTGAATTTCCGGACGTGACAGTATATATACCATGTGGAACATCCCAACCAAGTTAAATTGGACATCTGAGAATGTTGCTTTATGAGTCAGATGAGCATAATGGCCCTTAGTAATTTTCATTCTGGCTTTGCCACTGCTCATCCTGGAAAGCCAGGATGTGATTTTCACCTAAAGATTCCATCAAAGAGAAATGTTTTCACAACAACATCACCAAAGAGTGTCGTGGCACCCTAAAGTATCATCATTGTTGGCCTTGAACAGGCTAGGTTTTCGCATGATCGTGCTTTCTTAGAAAAAAAATACCCAGTTAAGGTTACTTGAAATAATCTAGTAAGATCTTTTTGCGAGAGTTTCTAGCATCTATGTTCTTAGCTTCTAGAATTTAACAATTCTTAAATCTCTAGATCCTCAAATAAAGTAGAGTTGTAGTTTAAACTGTTTTGCTCCACGGCTTGTATGCATGATACATGATTAAGCGAAAAAAAGAGATTGTATATAGTTTTGTTTTCTGGTGCAAAACTGTGAAATTTTTAAAATAAATATAAATTAAGATATATAATTCAAATTTGTCAATGGGTTATACTCCTGTCTGCATTTTTATTTTATTTAATTAAATTAAAGATATTATAATTCCTCATTTGTGCTCGCGTTCCATCTCGTGTAGTGCGGATCTCTCCTTTTTGTTCTTGTGGGCCCCACTTGTCATTCTCTCGGCGAAAAAAAAAATCCTCTTCTCATCTCCTCCCTCCGAGTCATTTCCCGCACCGCCGCCTCCACTTCACCCGCCTCGCCGCCGCCATCGCCGACGTCGCCGCCGCCGTCGCTGCGGCGAGCTTCCCGTCCGGCAGGCCGATGGACACCGTGGGCGCCCGCCTGAGCCGCTCGTCGACGCGGTACGGCCCCGTCGGGAACACCGCCTCCTCCTTCAGCGGGCCCGTCAGGAAGTGGCGCAAGGCCTGGGTCCCCATCGCCGCCGGCGGGGCGGGGTACGCCGGGATGATGGGCCCCATGGGTGTCTCCAGGGGGAACAAGGTGGTGCTGTTCAGGTGGGCGCCGGTGAACGGCGGCGCGGCCGGGGGTGGCGGTGGCAGCGGCGACGGCGACGAGTCGGCAGCGGTGGCGGCCACCAGGCGGCGCTTCGTTCCGGTGAGGCTTCTTCTTGGCTCCGTAGATTGGCTCGCTGCATTGTTTGTGTTTGGGTCCGATTTGCTTGGCATTTAGGTTTTCTCCATTTCTTAGGATTTCGATTTTGGTTAAAAAAAAACTAGGGTGGGGAGGGATAATTCCAGTTTGTGATTGGATGAACATTTTACACTTAATCTGCGCAATTAGATTCGAGAAGCTGGTCTTATGAAAATCTGTTGGTTAATGTGCTAGGCAGCTAGGGTTTGGTCATCAACTTGGGTTTTACTAGGGTTTATAGTGGTGTAATTCTTTTCTTATAATCTTCTAGGGGTTTCTTCCTCTTCCTTTCCTTGGGGCTAGTGCTAGTTTAATTTAGTGATAGTTGGCTATGCAATTTCATGGTCTGAATCCTCAGGGGTCTAATCTTGGCCATGTAGTTAGGAATGTAAAAGGTTCATGACATCTCTGAATATAATCATTGCTTCATTGGGCTGATATTAGCATGAATACCATCCCATTATCTTAGTCGCGGGGCTATTGGCTGGATGCCTAGTTCATGCGTTCTACTCTGATCTGTAATATGATATAATTATGAAAGCACTCAATTATTCAATAGGGCTTAGTTTTATTTGTCTTTCCTTAGTTGGTTGCCAATGATGTTTCTGTTCATGTTACATCTAGATCAGAGCTACTAGATGCACTCAAATTTGGAATATCAGATATTTGTGTACATGGAAAAAAAGTGCCTGCTACTAAGGAGTAGATAAATCTATTTATCCCCTTCAGCTATTGTTTCAGTCTAGTTCCTAAACCTCAACACACCCTCAGTTATCATTAGGATATCTCCCTCTTCCTCCCGTCTCCCTCCAGAAAATCTCATCATCCATTGCTGCGTACAGATCTCCTACCAGGTCAAAATTTTCCCCTCTGCCTTCCCATCCAGGAACAGAGTGAGAAGCAATCCCAGCAGGAGTTGCTGCGGCCTTGAGCTCGTGACCATGGACCTACCAGTATTTTATGGAAGATTTGGTTTCCTGGTACATCATCCTATCATATCTTCGATGGCAACATGTATGAGCTGAACGGATTGCCTAAACAGAGGAGCAGCATCGGTACTACTGTAGGAAGCAAAAGCTGAAACTAGCCAAATTAGATCTAATAAAATAAGCATCCTTGAAGCCCACGAAAATGGTTTAAGAGTGGAAAATATAGATTCAGGCAAAGAGAAAAACTGTCTGTTTATTCCCCACTCTATCCAATTCCTCTGCTAAAGCATAGAAACAAAGGGAGGATAGAGGAAAGGAAATGGGAGCAAGAGGAAAATGTTGGAAGCTGACATGCTGGGCCTATTAGTTATGGGATTTTATAATTGAATCACTGTGGCTAAATTTGTCCATGTAGGCAGCACAGAGCCACAGACCATTCCTGACTGGATGCCATCTCAGCAAACCGTACAACAGAAGTGCTCCCTCTTCTGTTCATATAATTGAATAGTCTCTAAATTTTAATAATTTCTTATCGCGGAACAATTTCATGTAATCCCATCCTGATTCCTGAGCTGTAACTATCCAACTATTTGTATATAATAGTTACACTTACATATGTTATGTGGTCAGTGGTCGCCTCTTCTCCTTAGTGTTGAAATAACTAATACAGGATCTGTTGTGACCAATTAAATCAATATATGCTTCTGAACATTATTCCCCTCCCACTCAACAGTATATTCAGTTTCTCATGTTCTTTTAATTCCTTTGTTTTCAGGGACTATCAGTTTACCCCTGCTATGTCAAAGAATTTTTCAAATTTTCCATGTAAATTTTCTTTCTGAAAAGCCATGCAACTCATATATTTATGTATCCTCTTTCAGGCTTCAGGCGTGGCACAAAATTCTACCAAGAAGAGCGGCAGCACCGAGCTGAATTTGAACCTTGGGTTGGAAGATCCAGATGACGACAGCGATGCTGATCTGAGCGCAGAAGAGCAACGTGACAGTGGAAGTAACCAACGCTCAGACAACAGACTGAAGAGAAAAGCCTTTTAACCGCCCAGTCCTTTGATGATGAGAACGTACGTGGTCATGCGAGGCCACTCATGTAATCTTATTAGCATCTATCTCCTAGCTCTTAGCTTGTGTTAGGCATTAGCAATTGTGTATTGTAGTCCAGAACAATGCATTAGCCAGTTGTAGTCTTATTAGCATCTTATGCCAATATGCCCCCTTCCATGAGCTGATGATGTAGCAACATGTTATTACACCAAGTGTTAATGCATGAACTTGTCAGATTGGAAATAGGGTTTGTAACCTGGTGCAAATAGCAGCCTTTGCACAAGTGTTATCTTGCTAGCCTGCTAGTATTAGTAATGGTTTGCCTTTGGTGATTGCATTTGGCTTTTCCATGTTTCCTTTTTATGAGCTGCATTTTTTCCATTTTTTTGTATAATAGAGTTGTGCATCTAGTTATGTTCTGAAAGATGGTTTGCTTGGCCAGAGCATGTTTGGAGAACATGAATCTCATGTGAAAACTTATAATTATCACAATACTCCCTCCGTCTCATAAAAAAAAAATCAACTTCTGATTATGAATCTGGACATAGACATAAGTTCGTAGTAAGAAGTTTTTTTATTAGAGGGAGGGAGTAGGTTGTAATAAATGTTCCGTTTAAGCAAGCATGCTCTGCTGTAGCTGACATGACGTCGAAATACAAATACGCACTTGCATATACAAGTTAAAAAAAAACACTTTGCTGCAGCATCACTTGCAAAAACACAATTGTCATTGCTTACAGTGCAATAGCTTGTGCTGGTTAGAACAAAAAATAACGCTCCTCTTATCTTACATGGCTCATCCTCATCTCCAGGACCAAAATGGGACATCGTTCCAACTATCTCGTTAAGTGAAGTAACAGCAGCAAACTTAAACCTCACTCGATTTCTGCTCAGAATTTTCTGCTGCCTCCTCCGTGGTCGTGGGGCCTCCCTCTGTAACACCGACTTCTGCAGGGCGCAGAACACGGTCATGTAGCATGTAGCCCACCTGAAATCACATTTTTTTCGTCATGAATACTGGCAGCAAGAAGATAAATATGCCTTTATCTGAGGAGACAGACAACAATCTACTTGCAATAGACAGGCTATATTTTCATACGTCTGATTCCAGGGCATGTCACGGAATCATATTAAAGATGGGACTTCAGGCTGAAACAGTGAAATGATTGACACGCAGAACCAAACACCTTACTTCAACAGGTATATGCCAGCATTAAAAATATAAGAAACTCTAAGAGAGTAAATAAAACAAGATCATAAACCATCACATTCTAAGGTGAGCAGAGATACAGATGAGATCAAAACAGTAGGGAAGTTAACATCCATACCATAACATGTAACTAACCACCAGTGACTACTATTCTGTCGAAGTTATGACAGGAGTTCCTAAAATAGTTCATCAAGATTACTGCACTAGCTTCCAAAGAAATGGTTGGGTATTCGAATAGGTACGTATCCAGCACAATTCAAGAAAACAGTGCCAAATTGTTCAGATACACTAGGTGACATAATAAGTGCACATCAGGTGACGGAACAATATCATGCATTTAATGTTCAGAAACGCCCTTCAAGCAAATTGTTCGAACTTTACACAAATGGTCACACAACTATAATGGTGGTGCTTCTAAAGAGCATTGACAAATTACCCCAAAAAAATTCAAAATAAGAGGATTTCAACCAATCCAACAGAAGAATACAATCATAGATCATGATTAACGCTTAACCACAAGATGCTTAGGTTCCCCACAATATGCAGAAACATGGATATCAGAAAATGCACGATTCCATACCTTTACAACAGAAGCTACAGTTCCTGAAGGTTTCGAGGGGTCAGGAATTTGAAAGATTGCACAATGTCTACTAGGATCAAATTTCTCATTCAAAGGATCAAACTTTTCAACTCCAAACTTCTTAAAAACCTGTTCAATTTTGAAGGCATAGATTGAATACAGGGTACACTGTCAGTTTCATCATACATTAGTGGGAATATTGGTTGAGAGAAATGCTACTAAAAGGCATTGTACACAAGTTTCAAAATCAAAGCATAAATTATAATATCCGCAACAGATTACCTCACCAAGTTGTTTATCTGTCATGTCCACACCCTCCAACAGTGTTTTTAGTAGTGGAACAGCTCCAGTAGAATCTTTAGATGTATCTATTTTTGAGAAGCTTTCCTTAACAACAGATGATGCTCTAGTCAAATTGTCAGCGACATCTAACAGGCTCTTGGAGAAATTCTGCATATATAATTGCCATAGACTATATAAGCAAGAATTAACAGTTTAAATGCAACTGAATGTACATATAAAGTATATAACAGCATCTACGTGATTTGAAATTTCAAGATGGAGGTGCATAGGTAAAGACAACAGACCTGCACAGCATACTTTTTTGAGTTCTCAGATTCACGCTTTGTCCTAGCTATGACATTTTCCATTTCTGCATAACTTCGCAAAACCTTGTCCTTCATATCATTGATTTCTTCATCTTTTGACTTCAACAATCCATCCTTCTCAAGAACTAGCTGCACCAGATCCTCCTTTGACAAATCAACGTCTTCAGTGCCTGAATCAGGAAATGCAGTTCATTTAGAACCTCACTTCTTATAGGCTTATGCCATGGGACATGGAGTTCTGTGAACCTATCTTGTCATGTTTTCTCAATTGAACATGAACTACCTTCATTTGACACATTTGTGGAATTCTCCTGGTCCTTGCGTTGGTTTTCCTCCTTATCACTTAGTTCCGGGGAAGTGGATGAAAATCCAAAACGTTGAAAAATGGTGGTTGAGTATCTCAAGGGCTGATTCAACATATATGGGACCTGCTTGTCAAAAAAGTACGTAACCAAATTAAGAATATAAAGGATATGACAATGTCTTCCAGTTATAACTGACACCGTTCAAGTTATATTGTGTGTGGGTTGGGGGCAGGGAACCTCACAAAATAAACGATGAGAAAGTAACTTTATTTTTAAAAATAAAAAGCATGAGCTCTGCTAATTCTTTGCTACAAGAGCATAAAAATACAAAGGTGCAGGTGTGATTCAAGAAAGTGATACATCCAGAACAAGTTGATCCAGTTGCTGATGGCTATCCACCTGCTTCCAACTAACTATTTATTCTTTTATCATGGCAATGACTGCTGAAGTTAGTGATGAGGAGTCCTCAAAGATGCGCCGGTATTTGTGTTTACATATATGCAAGCATGAGTAGTAAGTTCAGGTTGAATCCCCAAAATATTTAGTGGACTCAGTGTTGCATAGTGGAAGTGTATGTTAACTGAATGGCTATGATACAATGGTGTACCAACCATTCATAGTATATAAAATACACTCAAGTCTTCTTCTTGAATAATAATCGTAATTACTAAAAAAAATGAGGTATCGTCCAACTTCCCACTCCTGCTTGTATCAGAGCTGGTGCAGCATTGCAACAAAGATACACTTATGAAATAAAATTGAGTATGGCGTAGTCATTCCTACGATGTATTATCGATCATGTTACAGAAGCAAACTATTCATACAAACAAATACTTGATCTCCATTAAACTATAATTTCTGACAATTACTAGTTTACTGAACATAATAATCTGCCACCCCTGCGACTTAAGGGCGGATTCTCTTCAAATTTCTCCATCACCATTATAAAATAATACGAATAGAACTCTAAAACCCTCCACAAAAACATCTATAGACAAATTTTCCACAGCGCAAGCCACCTGAAACGGCACATCCTAAAACCCTCCCAATCCCCCTTGTGACATCTCGGCGTGCGCAGAGGTGGCGAAGAAGAGCACATTAAAACTTCACAACAAGCACCACGAGAGGAAGCATAGAAGGATTCTCACCCCGAGCCACGGCTCCGCAGCCGCCGCCTTCGCCGCGGTCACCACGGGCAGCGACAGCGCCGCCGCCGGGCACCGCCGCCGCCTCGCGGCCGACGCCGCCACCGCGGCGACGCATTGCCTCGACGCCCGCGCGAGGAGGCGCGACGCCGCCACCATCTGGTCGGTCCCCCTCTACGTACGCCCGCGGCCGAGTCGAGGGGGGGAGGATCGGAGCGGCTCGGTTGGCGGCGGCGGCGGAAGCTTTATTAAGAAAATGCGAATAGTAGGGAGTGATATAATTTGTCTAGCCCATCATTTTGTGGAGCTAGCCGGAAGATTATTGTGCGGTTCTCCAAAAGCTTTTTTAGATGTGTTCGTATTTGTATAGTGTTGTTTTATTATTATTGCGAGTATTAATCAGAGTAATAAGGTAATAGTATGAACAGTGAGATCATTAATTTACATTAACAAAGTAAGCGATGCCGGTAAAGAACTGCAACTTGTAAAACGAATCTAGGTGCTCCGGTTGTTTTGCTACAGAATGTTCTTGTGACAAGGGGTGGATTAGCCTTTGATTTGATGAGCTAATACAGACCTATGGTGATAAAAAAAAAGTATGTCAGAGTCTTTATGCTACCTAGCATGAAATTAACAAAAAAAAAAAAAACAGGCACGAAATTGACTGGTCATAAACTATATGAGCAGGGTTCTATTCTATATTAAGGAAATCACAAAAAAAACTGTCAAAAAATTTTAAACGTGGTTTAGAATGTCCGGAATAATTAAAAACGTGAAAAACATTTTACCAAATTTAAAATAGTTTTTTGAAAATTTTGGGCGAAATAGTATCCTATTTGAGGGAGGGGGACCCAAATTCCTGAAATGAGGTGTTCGTAGTTGTTTTTTTTTTTCCGAACACGCTGGAGAGCTATCCATCATTATATTAAGAAGAGAATGGAGCCAAGTATGACAAAAAAAAAAAGACTCGAAGAAGAGAGAGGCGTTTGCAATTATCACACTGTTTTCCCCTTCCATACCATCCCCTAAACATGACTGAACTGACAGTACATACTAGGAGGATGAAAACAGTACCTTATTTATCAGACATATGTACTAACAAGGCAATACGAATTAAACTGGAAAAAAATATTCCACAAGCACTAGTGTGTTTTTACTTAGTACATAACCAGCATGCAAAAGATCAGCCAACTTTTACTGAACTTCTTTTTTCTTCTTCATCTTACCATTTGTACGATACTCCTCATACATCCCTTGTTTTTTCAGCACAAGGCATTATATATTTGCTTTGATGTTTTAGGCACTCAAAATGCGAGATTGGTCTGAATGAGAGGATAAAGGGAAACAATGGGGAAACGCCGTTTACCGCCATTGCGGAGCAAGAAGAATAGCCAGCAAAAACGCAGGATGCCACCATTGTACACCGCCGCTGCACGGCCTCCTCAAGAAGGCTGGAGCATCAGAGAGCGTGTCAATTTCAGGATCGCAATTGGAAGGTATGAAAAACAAATGTTCGCACAAATCTTTGCTAATATTCAGAAAACTTGAGGTTTGTGACTAGCAGATAGCTGAACTAGACACACCCAATGTAGATCACCTGGATTGTCCTATTAATCTCCAGATTTCAGCTTTCTGACTAGCAGATCACTGCAAATTTGTATATTCAGATTGCATCGCATTCTATGGAAGTACTTTAGTATTGGTGAAAAAAACGTTTATTCAATCATGTTTCTGGGGCTCTGCAGATTTGGTCAGGACTGGCCTAGAGTTGCACAGTTTATCAGCACAAAATCTACTGGTCAAGTATGTATCTGAACATGTATTCACTGCCTGCCTTTTAAACTAGCAACAGAATGCAATGCATAGCCTTATGAAATGTATAACCTCTTAACCTATTTTGCTTATCAGATCTGTGTCTATGCCGAGGAATATTTCCTGAAGCGTCACACACATAGCCCAGTGAAGAATAAAAGGATTCTGATTATCAGCTCAGGTTGTTGACAGGAGCAACACATTTAAAGTATTTCTACGCTGAAGCAACTGCAATTGAAGAACTGAATCATCTGAATTGTAAACTATGGGGTTGTTCAGATTAATAACATTTTAAACCATACCATTTTTTGGTAAAATTGCTAAATAAAGTTTTTTTTATCAAACTTTAGTAAATGCATAAGGAATCCTGCCAACTTGACAATATTGTCAATTTACCAAAATTTGGTAAGGTTTATTTTGGCTACAATCTGAACAGCCTCTATATCAGTCTCAAATGACCTCAAGGTTCCACCACATGAATCATTGATGGTATTATTTCAGCTACAAATAGTTACTCAAACTGCTATCTGCACCTTGCAAGGGAAATCTCCACTGGAAGTGTGGCCAAATTTCACAAAAAAATTCTACTCATTGAAGAAATAAAAGGACTGTTGAGGTTACAACAACATAAACTAATACAACATTTCAACAAAACATCATGCAACATTGTTTCACATATCCCATTTCCACGCACCTAGTGCCCTACCACTACCTAACCTAGTCACATCTGATATCACATGTCATTGGATTACAGTATATACATACGTGCACATTGATTGAACACAAATGCACCAAGTGTTGAAACATTATACAGAAAGGTTGATTTATCAATGAGAAGGATTCCCCCTTCTCCAAATGAATAATCAATGAGAGAGCACGGTGTTAGATACTGACCCTACAAGCCTAGACAAAAAAATGCTCTACTCTTTCACCTACATATTAATAATTTTACAACAGCTGTGAAAAGATGATTAAGCCCAGATCGGAAGAGAAACGTTAGCAGATATAGCCTGGCCACACCCAGTATTCACTGAGGGGGTCTGAGCCTGCTGTACAGCTCACAACCCGGGCGGCCAAAAAAGTATTCCATCGACCAATTTGGCGCCTTAGCAGGATCAATTGCTCGAGTGCTTCACTTCTCACTAGCTGTATAGGTCACATAAGTAGGACGTGCAGATGGCTAATTGCTTCAACTTTCAGGTGAGGGAGGCCTACGGCTGTACGGTACATAATAGGAGGTTTCCTGCCCAATTGGTGTTTGGAGAAGAGGGTTCCATCGATCAAAGATGATGCGACCACCTCGCCCAATCCTACCCCGGCACCTAAATGGTGGCATGGTTGCACCATTCTCAATGGGAGGATCTGGTGGTGGCTTTATACCTGCTGCTAGCAACTTCTCAGGATCCAATGGTCTTGTGAATAACAATACTGGCTCCTCAGGATCCTGCATTTTCAGTAAAGTGGTAATTAGTTGACAAAAATAACTATAACAAACGAATTTCCTATACAACGTACATGACAGGATTCTATTAAGGGTTGATAACCTTAGAGATGAGCTATAAGAAAACGGCGCATTCACGCCATTATCTGACATTGTAACAAATCTGAACTTTCTAAAATGGCCCCTTCTAAAATTTCTGGCTCCAAGGAAGCCAAGCCACTAGCTGGCCTGTTTCAATTTAGATGATTACCTCTATTTTCAATTTATCATCTGCATTTTCTTAGAAGTAAATCAAGTAATATTCAAATAGCACTTCCCACAAAAAAAAAGCACTTAATGCTCCAATCTGTGGAGCTTAAAAATACAGTACTTCATTGCCAAACTGCCATCAGTTCTGTAACCCAACTGTCTTACATGAAAGAGAGTGAGGCAGTGAGAAAAGGTGATCACATACCCTTTTAAACACCCAGCCATTCTGCTGTGGCCTCCTTTTTAGTTCGCGCTCACGCTTTATACGCAATGTAGGGATTACGGATAGCTTATGATCAGCGAATCGAGGACGGAAAACAGGTGGCCGGATATATGGTTGTTCAGTTGTCGTGTCATCTGAATCTGCGTAATCATCTTCACTCGATCCAAATCTACTAGAAACTTGCTGGAAGCCTGACAGTGCAGTCCCTTCATCAACAAGCTGGGCTTCATGCTGAACAAGGAAAGAGGATGACAGTAAATTAGTCAAACAATAAAAAGTATCCAGGTATGACCAAAGAACAAAAATAGCAAGACTATAACATCAATCAAAGTTAAATACTGTAATGAGCTACAGCGGACAATAATCAGGCAGAGATATTTATTGAATTTTCTTCGACATTTTCTGTTCTATGATGTGCTAAATTTATACTATAGAATTATAGTATCAACTGCAAGTGGTCTTGGGTGAACAAAGTATAAAACCATTCCCCAATATCAATTATGGGAGTGGTTGAAGCTATGCCGCTACCATTTTCTTATGTGTGTACTGTTCCTTATAAGTTTAAGGTTTACAAGAAACCATGCCAGCTCCACATGGACACATGGATAGCTAGGTACACAGACTGCAAATGTTCTTTTGAAGATAAAGAACCAAAGCAAGATTACGGACAGAATTCAGGAACTGTTTAGGCCGTTCACCCCAAATACAAGCACATAAATTATTTATAAAGAGAAAAGTTTTAGACTGTAATGTATGATGGTTTATACCTTATATTTCATCTGAATGCGTCGAAGGTTGACCTCGCATTCCATGGCCTCCCGTTTTGTCTCTTCCCTCTGCGAAGAATGTATTATTTAGTTGCAGAAGTATAATTTGGCATGTTAATGCTGATGAACCACCGTAAGGCCAGTTCATTCATGAACTAACCTTAACCAAAGCATCCATAAGTGCCTTTGCCTGGTCCAAGTTGCGCCGTACCTAATAGAAATTTTCAAGGTAGCATTGTGAGAACTAGAATAATGAAAAAGCATATAGTACTTAAAATGTAAGAATTCAAAAGCCACAGCTAACCGATTATCATTCACAGGATAAGACAAGGAAATGATGTTTCAGAATTTAAGTTATACACACAAAACTAGCACAGCACTCAAGTTGAGAGCTATGTATAAAATAGAAACAGAATGAAGCAAAAAGCCCTTAAAGCTAAAAATAAAGAAACTGTTGGGACTTTTTCTCTTTTTGAGAGGAAACTGTTGGAATTTGAAACAAAGAAAAGTGGCAAATGGCAATTATTCCATTCAATAACATGGATATTAAATTAAGCAGAACAAACCAATCATTTCAACCAAGATAACAGAAGTTCTCCCCAAACAAGACAACTTGCAGAGAAGAGTTTGCATTAAAGTTAAAATTATTTACAGAAAGACCTTCTTGTGTTCATTTCTCTAGAGCAACTACACAGCTAAGTTCCTCTTTGTCAACAAACAATAGCAAATCAAGAGTGCACAAAAAAGAATAAAGGACTAGAGTTTTACTAATTAACGTGCAGATGAAACATGAAAAATATTGAAAAACAGATTTCTCCATATCAAATCTTGGTAATCTTGAGACATGATTTAACAAATTAAGAGCTTCAACAGTGTAAGCAGACAAATTGGTTTATAATGCTTCTAGTAAGGTGTAAAAACTGAGTACATTGCATAGACCTCCTCCACAATAATATAGTAGGATTAGTGTTTATCATACACTGGTACACTGAGAACCTCATCAAGCAGAATAATGAACAAAATATCTTCAAAGATTTCAATTCAGATTTTATAAACAGCTAATTTATCCTATAATCAAAATATTATGTAGTTATTATATCCAGTAGGATGTAAAGGGATAAAAAACAGCCATAAAAGGTTCTATAAAGAAAAAAAACAAATTGTTGCTTACCATGCGAAGTTTTTCGAATGATTGAATATTATTTTCTCGCCTTTGCATCTGGAAAAGGAAGAAAACATTATGCATATACAAAATAGAGACCTGATCAGAGATAGATATTATCCCTCCACAAAGCTTGCCTAGCAACTAATGCTCCCAGAAGGTCACATGATTGCATACTATGTTAAATAAAAATGATATCTGATTTCAAGTTACTCACCCTTCTTGTATGAAGTCGATGTGCCTTCTCTCTTGGTCTGAATACATTATAAGGGTTTGTATCATTCACTGGTGGAGGCGGCTTCACGAAAACAAAAGCAATAGTCAACAGTAATGCAACCGAGAAACAAGAATCATGAAATAACAGAGTAACAGTTCCTCCAGTCCTCCAGACTTGAGCATAACTTGGACAAAACCAACCTGACAAAAACTTATATTCTATGGCTGATGGCTTACAAACCCAACTATTCATTGTCAGTTTGGTGCATCCTTCGTTTTAATCAGACTGCTTCAACAAATGTTGTAGTTTGGTACAACTGTATGGATGTTTTTATGCACCAACTGAGTGAATTAGCATATACATTTTAATCAGACTGCTTCAACAAATGTTGTAGTTTAGTGTTATCCCATGTGATATCTTTGGCTTGCACTAATTTTTGGCTTCGAAGCAACACTACAGAACCAAAGTGAGTTACTCCGGTTATATTTTGTCTTTGCTCAACATAGTTAAAGTCACTGGATTTTTGCTTATTTGATTTATAAGCCAATGGGCTTAGCTGAATTTGCCCAAACAGCTTTAGAAAAGGTCACACACATATGTTTGAAGTTGATGAAGATGAAGATGAAGTTAGGGCATGCAAAATGAGAAATCCATTAGTGCATGATTATCTGGATTTTTAATTATTACAAACTTGAAAATTGGGTTTATTTGATATTTTAAGCAACTTCTATATAGAAAGTTTTTGCACGAAACACATTGTTTAGCAGTTTGGAAAGCGTGCTAACGGAAATCGAGGAAAAATCTGTATCTTAATTAGAAAAGAACACGAATTATTTTGAAGCCAGGATAATGAACTTAACCAAACTACCGATACGAACATTTCAGGACAAAGCATCCAAAAGGCAAAAATATAGCCCAATATCTGCATTGATACTGCAGGGTTATTAGATGTTATTTCATTAAACGAACTAACAGGTTTTAGTTTACTATGTTTGTTGGTTAGCTTCTCAGATACAATTGTGCGGTCCCATTTGGACAATGGGATTGGGAAAAAAATTCCCACCCACTAAAGGATAACTTTTAATCCTAGCAACTCATTCTGCCTACCTCATTTCATCCTCATCCTTCACTTTCCCTATCCCAATCCCACCCCTCTCAACCAATCATCCAAACAAGGCCTGGGTGGTTAGTTCTTGTTTCTTGACATGCAAACAAACATATCATACTTTGATTTCAACAATTGGCAGGATATTACTGTAATATAAAATTAACCAATCTTGTGTATATGTTAGACCTCAGAATATGCGGTTGGCTTTCATCAAGTATTTACTCCTTGTGTATACACTAGACCTCATAACAACCATGCATACAATTTATTAACTGAAGTAACCATAGCAGGTACTACATTAATTCACAATATTTACAAAAATTCTATTGTTAGACTATACTTAAAAAAATGTCGCACTTCACATCTGTGATGCATATTTCATTTATAGCACTATAGAAATAGCATTCACAATTCACACACCATAAAACCATTAATCAACAATCAGTTTTGGTATTTTAACAGGAAAATGGCAAATTACTAAAAAAGACACACCGAAGAAATTGTACTAACCTGCAAACGCCGCAGAATAGGCTTTTGCCATCGTTCCCTCTGATAAAAGAATGAAAAATGAATCAGCAAGCAAAAGGAATTATGTAAACACAATTAAAACTAAATATCTAATACGCTAAATAAATATACACTACGAAAAAAAAGGCTGAGACCATGTGAGGAAACAACAATGTGACTTGTTACAAAAACTGAAAATGTAAGCATATCGCCACCACAAGAAATTTGTTGTTGCATTCTCATTTTAGAGAATACCTTGTCTTTCCAATAACTATATACAGCTTGGAAAACTCCATACCGAACAGATAAGTACTGCAATGCCTGCACAGAGAAGCAATTCTAAGCAAACATTGAGAAAGAAATTAACAAAATTACAAGTCTGCAGTAACCAAATAGAAATAGTGGGAAAATGGATTTCTTCCCAGAAATCTTGAAAATACTAGATCCAGAATCAAGTGAACTACAAATTCAACACCAGAAAAGATTTCCATTATATTTGTTTCCGCTGAAAAATCTTATCTACATCATTGTCTTGCAATCCTTACAATCTAGTAAAGTTATATGATCTCTACACTAGCAAGGCACACTAAACCAAAAACCTATTTTGATCAATATATTAATGGAATAACAACATAATCACATATATCAGCACAAGAAATGCATGAAATGTGAATCAATATTAGCCTATATAATAAATAATCAATAGTTATTAACTATAGAAGAAGATATTTCTACAACCTTAGACATTAATCTTTCATGTATCCTTTCCTAGGTTGACCTGACTTTGGCATGGAAATAATGGTTACACATCTACCCCAACATCACCATTAAGATGATAATGACATTCATAATCACAATATGTTGAATTAGTGTGTTATGTTTTAATTTACCTGTATTCTAGAAGGTAAAAGTTTTTATGCCCTGTAGGACTTCTACTATCATATAATACATAAACCACGAACATTAATTTAAAACATCTTGACAACATTATAAGGAAGTGCATGAAGTTGCAAAGAATGTATAATCATGCAGAACAAATGACGTGAGTGTGGTGAATCCAAATCGACTTTCTGTGGATTCTTCATTGACCACGGCATTATAAAAGTAGCAACAGTCTTTGGGTGAGGCATCCAAAAGAAAAGCACAACCACAGAAAGTGACACTATACTACAACATATCAATAGACCAATATGGCTTCATAACATAGCAAGTAAAGAACTGCATAAAGAAGTTGTGTAACCATGTTAGTAATATCTGAAAATGCAGCTGTCACGTAAGCATATGCCAATGACATGTGACGGGAGTTAGGAGAATTAAAATTTGAAAACCACACAATGTTTACTGGGATGTCAAGTCTGAGGTGGAACAACATATATCACTTCAAGATAAGTGTGCAAACCATGTGCTAGAGCCAGTTCAAGGGATCCCTAGACCATAGGTAACATGTCCCAATACAATTGACACATCATGATGGTTAAGTTATTGGAAAGAGTTCATGTTGTAAAATGGATTAAAAACAATGAGTCGTTATCTCACAGTTGATCATGATGTCAATAGATAAGGTATGATTTTACTACATTAACAAACTATACATTTCGCTTGATGTTTATACAAGTATGCCTGTATTGCAAAATGCATGCACATAGATCCAAATGCCAATATTATAATCTCCCTTCCTCTTAAACATCATCCTATCAGTAACATGTAAGATTCCCATTTAGCATGTGGCTTTACCTCCATTGCAGCATCAAGCTGCAAGAGGACTGGTACAGGTCCTATGAAAGTTGGTGTAATGGCTCCTGCTCTTTCTCGAGCTTTGTGGTCCAAAATTTCCAACTTGAATAGGAGGACTTCCAACCTGTAATGTAGGACCATTTCAAACTGTAGCAAAAATACATGCTTCACAGGGGGAATAACATAGTGGTGTCTCAACAGATTTCTTCATATTCAAGACAGAAAACGTTAAAAGTTAAAATTATTCCCCCCTGTTTTGTATTGTCAGCAGTTATATGACGTACATAACCAGTAAGTTTAGCTCTTGCAACCAAAGTTTCCTCAGAAATACTACATGCAATTCTAAGTTCACATGTTATAGCCTATGTCTTGGAAGGAGAAACGTTTCTAATTAAAAGTACAACTAGAAACTCCTGATGTTAAGTTTTAGATTTCAAATGGTGCATACTTCAGTTATAATGAACATTTCAACTATAACTAGTAAACCAAGTCATCTAGATCTCCAGAACTTTCTTACTTTTCAGGGTTAAGATTCTTCCGCTCATTGTTGAAGTCTTCAAGCCAGTCTTCATCTTCATTGTCCAGATCATATTCGACAAATTCACCAATCTCAGCCCTGGCTGCGGAGTGTAACAAATCTTAGAACAGAGGCCATAAACAAGATATTGTAAAAACAATACCAGAGCAGTAGGAAAGAAACCTCCTCTTCCACGTATATAACAGGTTGGTTGTGCGAAGGTTCGAGTGTAGTCCCTTTCATAGGTGTCCACAGCATCAAACTGAGGCGTTGGTATCTCTTGAATGTTCTTCTTAGTGGGTGTTGGATTTCCCTGCAAAGAGAAGTAAGATCACCCTTTTGAATAGCATGATGCCAACTAAAAAAATATATGGCCCTCTGAAATAGTGGTTGCTCTGTCCACTACTCTACTAAAAGAAACGAGTACAGCAACAACACAATGTGTGGCATAAATAGTTTTTTTCAGAATCTTAGCAGTTTCAACAATTTTGATTTTCTTTTCAAAAAGTAAGGCAAAAGTAACCCTACTGTTTCATTTATATAGAAAGATAAATTTAAATATTGATAGAATGAAGTGTATTGTTGTTGTAGGGTTGCAAGCTATCTGAGACACAATTAAAGCCAAACAGCGCACATATCTAATAGGATCATTATTGCAGGTTCAAGAAAAGGTTATATTGGCTAGTTGCACAGTTAAATGTTGCTAGCCAAATACAGGTCGAAGTACAAAACCTAAGAAATGCAAAGTGAGTACTAATACAGGAAAATGAAAAGAGCTAATTTCACTGCTCCAAATAGCCGTTTTCTTATTCGTAACACATATGACTGCAAACCTGAGATTGTGAAATGAATCAAATGACTATTCATTCATGTACATAATTGAGCTGAATTCAATTCAACTTGCTAATAGGATGTAGAACAGAACCCAGCAACTTAAGAAAGCTAGCAAAATGCACCCAGGCAACATTTCAAAGAATCGTGGCACAATCCAGTAATCCAGCACTATGAATCAAATTACCTCGCCCTCCGTGGCAGTAGTAGCAGCAGTGAGCTCCGGCGCGGACTGCCGCAGCAGCACCCCTGCCCTTGCGACCGCGACCGCCGCGGCCGTGGGGTCATCGTCCTCGAACTCCCGCGCCGACTTGAGGATGGGGAGCTTCTTGTGGATGTCGAGCGGCCGCGGCCTAAACGAGAGCCTACTCATGGCCATCACCACCACCACCACCACCACCGCCACCCCGCCGCCTCATCTCATCTCCACCTCCCCCACCTCCTCTCCCTCTCTCTCCACCCCCACACGCGCCGACCGCTACCGCCCCGCAGGGTCGGGGCCCAAGGAGGGGGGAGCGCGCGCGGGCAAACCCTAGGTCCGCGAGGGCCCCGTCAGGCGGGGGCTTGGGTTCCGGCGGCCGCAGGAGCCGCGGGGGGGCGGCGTGAAGGGGGAGGAGAGAGGAGGCTCTCCGCGGCGAGCTAGGGTTAGGGTTTTGGAGGTGGGGAATCGAGTTTCTAGGGTTTGAAAGGAGGTTGAAAGGGAGGGAACGACGGAGAAAGGGGGGTTCGCGGGCGACGAAGGGTGGCCAGGCCGGCGGCTCGAGCTCGATGAGTCGAGGCCGTACGTGTACGTATCCGTATGGGCGTATTGGTGTCCGTACGCATGCGTACCTAAGCAAGTGTATAAAGGTTTTTTTTTTCACTAGTAGTATGCCCGTGCTAACGCTACGGTAATATTTGGTAATTTATCCTCAACCAAAAGACGATAACAGTATTTATGTACATAGTAGTATTGTTCTCTAAATCAGGATTTCAGTTGCCAGGAATAACACTAATTATATTCTATTATGATTCTATTCTTTTTTTTTTCAAATACACCATTGTCGAAGCATTTTTTTCCCGGTACGTATAAGATTGTGATATCTCTATCGACTATTTGCGCACATAAATGTAAAACATGTTCTGACAGTGCAAAATATGGATGGCAACCATAATTTAGGTAGGGTGAACAAAACACCAGATGTGATATTCTTTCTAGCAAGTAAAATAATAGGCAATACTACCATATGCTATGATTCATGCGTTAAATTTCATACAAATAAAACAAACAAAACAAAGAGAGAGCCGACAAAAATGGTTGTTCTTGAGTAGTTTCTGCAAATAAATAAGCATTCGCTAGACAAATGAAGAGATAGAGAGAGAGCAGAGAGACTCTGCGAGTAGGAAGCAATACTATGTTGTAGCACCAGCCTCTTCTCCTTTTGCAAGTCCACCTTAAGATAGCCTCGTTTAAGACCGTATATAATAAGCTGCTTATAATTTCTTATAGTTGCTGAAGTCGAAGAATATGTGTGCTAAACAAAATAAAGAAAGTATGTGCTACCTGATATCGATAAATAGATAACCTACGTGTGCATATGCTAAATATTCCAATTAAGTGGCATAGTAGCTGAGAAACAATTAATAAGTAAGGGAAAAAGTCCAAATACCCTCCTAAAATTTATGGAAATCCGTCTAGCAACCTGAACTTTAAAATCGACATCCAACCCGCCTGAACTTTGCCATACCATCCATATTACCCCCTAAGGTAGTTTTTGATGATGGTTTTGTATATTTTGGAAGTTTAAATGAACAATTTTGAATAACTAATATAACATATTTGAATATGATCAGTTATAAATCATCAATTTATTCTTATACAATGATATCATGCTATTATTATGTTGATACTTGTTTTTAAGTGATAGCTAATAAGGAGCAAAAAGAAATATTTAAGTCAAAATTTTAATATATATGTTCGAAGTGTATGACATGTGATCAAACTCATCCAACTTATATACAAATTAGATAAAAACTACTATGCAAATCATCCTTGGAGGTTATATAAACGGTATTGTAAAGTTTAGGGGGTTGAATGTCCGGTTTCAAAGTTCAGAGTGCTAGACGGACTTCCATCCAAAATTTAGGGCGTTATTTGGACTTTTTCCATTAATAAATAAAAATGTAGTACAGCTCTAATGATATTGAGAGAAAATTCACCTATAGGAGCATTCATGCATGCGCCATGATCAATATTACGAGAAAATTCACATATAGTTAGTTGCCCGTGCGTTGTAACGGAATCATTTTACAGTCCGATATTCAGTTTATTGCAATAACAAAACTGACAAAAGAATAGTATGTCTGCGAAGAATAGTATGTTAGACATGATACCTGGAGTACTTTTCCCAATAGATATATCACTGTACTAACTTGGCAATAAATGTTTTAAAAAATCATCACAAAAGCTTGCAATAAAATAGGCTACTGAAATGATTGTTCAGATTAGACATGTGATGTTTTTTGACATTACAATTACTATTTCTTCCGACGAACTAAAATATAGAGGTACTGGTCACATCCTTTGTCATCGTTACAAGCTCAAAGTAACCGACAGTGCACAACATAAGGACCATGACAGTAATTTGGTTAGTACAGGATAAAAGTTTTCCTTTAAAAAAAACAATGACAAGTGTTCCTAAGAAAAATTTGCTGCAATGCTCCTCCACTTACTTTGAGCTTAATGGTAAGTGCAAAATTGTTACACTGATATGATACATGCATAGGTGCACCAAATTTGCATAAAAATATGAAATTTGCCAAACAAGGCTATAAATATGAAATATGCCAAATAGAGACTACTTGAGTATGTTGAAACTTGCAATACATGTATAGATAGTGGTTAGATTTGTTTATATATGGGTGAGCCAACATGATGTTAATAATGCAGAAACTCTTGTTGTGTTCGTCTTGCAGTAGTGTAACACAAAATATAATTTTGTTCCATTAGTGATAATGCCTTCACCACCATAAAAATGCAAAACAAAGTACTCCTTTCGGCATTTCATCAAACATATGTCATGCATGACCAAAATTGCAAAATTGCCCGTATATGGTAGTAATGATCTTGACGTTACCCATCTTGTACAGAGAAGACCTGCACAATCAAAGTAGTAAACCAGGAGCCAAACCGCCAAACCCATCATTAACACCCAAGAGGTCAATATATATAATCAGATAGATCTGCCTCCTTTTGCAAAGAATGATTTTCACCCGTTGTTGAGGAAGCTGACGAAGGCGGCGACGGGAAGAGGCAGGAAAGAAGTAGCAGCTGAGGCGGTGGTCGTCACCGAACTGTCTATCGAGTTCTTAGCCTCTCGCCGTTTTCTGGTGCTCTGTAGCACTGTTCGGGGTGGACGCGGCGGACGTCGGCAGAGGGTGTAGAGTCTTGACTGAGAGGCGTGGTCACGGCCTCACGGGTGGAGAGGATCCCGACAACGGCAACGGGGCCGTGGAGGACGGGCTTGGGCGCCGGTGGAGACATTTCCGATGACCGCACAAGGGCGCGGAGCATTGGAGGATGATGGCGGCTTCGGGCTAGGGCTAGGCGGTGCGGCAGGAAGGGGGCAACGGTGAATCGGCAACGGCGCTAGGGCGAGCAGGCGCGGAGGGCAGAGGCGGCGATGAGAAGGATGGGATCATGGGATTGATGAGGGAGGGGTGCCGGAGGAGATCAGCGCGATGGGCGGAGGCACGCGAGCAGTGGGGGTGGCGGCGAAGAAAGCGGGAAGCGGGGTAGGAAGGGGGTCGCGATGGAGGGCGGCGAAAGGGAAGGGAGCGCGCGTGCGAGGTGTGACGGAGCACGGAGAGAGAGAGGATGGATGCGCGATGTGAGCGTGGATGGGGCGTCCTGTGCGTTGATTTGGTGGGAGGATCCTCCGAAACATCTCAGCCATTAAATTGTTCAGGACTCACCGCCACCACTACATAATTTTTAATTAGTAGAGATTTTGTTCGAGTATAAGTATTACACCCTCCATCCTAATATATAAAGCTCTGTTTGGTTAATGGGATAGAAAAATGTTACACACCCACCAAAAGACGTCTCTAAATCCTAACCGTTCATTCTTCCTCTTCCATTTAATCTTAACCCTTCATTTATTTCTCAATCTCAATTCCACCCCTCATTTCACATTATCCAAACACACCCTAAAGGTTCCTTTGAATTGCAGGAATAAAAAAAACGAAGAAATAGGAAAATCACAAGAATGGAAGTGTAAAACAGAGGATTACAAAACACAAGAATGACCGTTTGATTGGACCGTAGAAAAAACACAGGAATCGGATGAGAAAGATAGACTCGAAGGAAATTTTCCAAGACCGTTGATCTCTTGTTAAGTTTCCTCCAAAATCTTTATAGATTGTTCATTCCATAGAAATTTCAAAGGATTGGATGGATTCAATCCTTTGATTCAAAGGCATTCATAGGAATTTTTCCTATAGGATTAAAATCCTCTAAAATTTTTATGTTTTTCCTCCAAATCAAAGGGACCCTAAGAGACTTTGGGATCGACATATCCTTCGATTAGCCAAGCGAATGAACACGAGCGATTATATAGGTTCAAGCCACCCGGAGGTGTAAAACTCTACACATGTTTTTTTTGCTATATGGATCTGGAAAGTACAAGCTATGCCTTTTTCCAACTAAGAAACAAGCATCCTTTTTCATAGCATGTCTCCTTCCTTTTATAGCGTAAGGAGGGGTTCACCGTGTTGTTTTCTACTTCCCCTCCGTATTGTCTTTCAGCTGTCTTGTCAATGTTGGCTGATGTCGAGTGATTGCTCCCTCAGACAGCGGGGAGTGGAGACCCATTCTCTAGAGTGAAGATCCGACCAGGGTGTTAGTCGGCGAGAGGTGCAGGGTATCTGCGTTCGTGATGGATTTGCGGGGCCCGGCCACCCCGCGAGGAGAGGGAGACTGGAGTTTATACAGATTCGGGGCACCCGGAGGTGTAATACCCTACTCCTGTGTTGGTGTTCGTTGTCTTCCCTAGATCAGCTAAGTACAAAGGAGACATTTACAGGCTACAAAGTGAGAGTACTGATCTAAAAGAATCCAACCCTTCATCCGTATCTGGTCCCCTTCCTTTCATACTACAAGGAAGGGCTCACATTATTACGAATCTACTCTTAGTCTTGTCTCATCAACCGTTTTGTCGTTGCCAACTGGTTCCCTAACGCAGGTCTCAACACAGTTGGAGCTTTATCCAGAAGGTTTCACTGCTTTTTCAGATTCTCAGAAGCTGGCTACCAAACAACTACTTTTCATAATCTAAAGCTTCCCCAAACAGGTCCTAAGTTTCTGTAAAATCAGTTGTTGCTTTATGCAGCCTCACTAAAATATTGTAAACGGCTTTATTTGGAGCTTTCCCTTGTTTAATTTACCAAATGATTTCTCCTCTATGCTTTTGATTAACATTTTCTTATATGGGGTCTCATTTGTTAAAAATGCCCTGTGGTGCGTCAGGGGCAGGGCTGGCTGGGCGGTTCCAAAGTTAGCCAGACAAAAATTTGAATTTCATAGATGAAATTGACTAATTTCTAGCAATAAATCGGCCCGTTTTGGCTAAGAACAACCAGTTTGCAAGGAATCCGACCACGAAAATCGATCAATTTGGAAGGAAAACCGACGGATGAAAAGTAAATTTTTCACTGGTGGTACTAGGTGGACAATTTGACCATGTAAAACATGTTTTCAAAGAAATTTTGTGTCCGAAGTGTTGCCAATATGATCATACCGTTTGCAGGAATTTTGTATTTTTAATATAGCAACATTGTACTTCACGAGACACATTAGTATTAGGAGCATCTCCAAGAGCCTCTCCATTGCACTCTCAAGCCAAATTTTAGCCATTCCAACCAAAAAATATCCTCTAACAGCCTCTCCAACTGGATGGTAAACCCTCCGGCTGGCCAAAACCCTCCCTCCACTAGCCAAATTTGACCAGACAAAACTCACTAGCCAATCATGGGCCCCACACGCCGTCCTCCTCCCATCTCCTCTCCGACTTCTCGCATCGAGCCATCGGGCCATGCGTGCCACTTCCCGCCGCCGGCGCCGGCGACGGCGCCACCAGCCGCTTGAGCTACGGCACGAACATGCTCGACCCAGAGGACACATGCATGAAGTGGCTGGACACCAAGCCGCTGAGCTTCGTCGCCTACTTCTCCTTCGGCAGCTTTGCGTCCCTCGGCACCGCCCAGATGGAGGAGCTCACCCGCGGCCTCCACGCTGCCGGCAAGCCGTTCCTGTGGGTGGTCAGGGCCACCGAGGAGGCACAGCTGCCCCGCCACCTCCTGGATGCAGCGATGGCGTCGGGCGACACGCTCGTCGTGCGGTGGAGCCCCTGCGCCACGGGATGCTTCGTCACGGGGATGACGGCGTTTCTCCACGGCGAGATCGAGCAGTGCGTGCGCACCGTCATGGATAGGAAGGAGTAGGACGCCGGGAGCGATGCGGTCGCCCCCGCCCACACGCGTGGCGAGGCGCGGCGGTGTCCCCCGCGGCAGCTCTGACGCCGGCGAGAAGTGGAAGGCGTTGGTTCGGGAGGGCAGCGAGGCTGCAGCATTGGAGATGTGTCGACGACGGCACAGAGGAGAGAGGCGCCGGAGCTGTGACCGCCGCCGTCATCTGTGCCGTCGCCCGCAGCGACCTCCGCCCGCGCACGCCACAGTGAGCGACGGCGTGGGCGGCGGCGAGGCGACGGACACCACACCGACACGCTCGGGTAGCAAGGATGAGGAGGACGAAAATACAACCCATGTCCCATTAATTTATAATACACGGTGACATGGATGAATCTCAGACGTCTATTTTTTTATCCAACGGTATTTTTCAGGTTTTCAGTACATATGTAGTTTGCACTATATATTTTTTATGTTTACTCTTTCTGTTTGTCATTTTATCCTGGACTAAAACTTAGTTTTGCTATGTCTCTAGCTTCGGGTGTTTGTTTAGTGTAAAACCATTCTGTAAGATTGGTCAGCTCATTTTATTTATTTTTAATTTTTGTACAAAGATAATCCGTTCTTAGAGCATCTGCAGCGTTGGGTTGAATCGACGGGTTTGGCCAAAACATCGAACCTAGCACACTGTGAGATGCGGCTTTTTGTCAGAGTAATTCGACCTCCGCTGAGGAGTCGATCTAGTCTAGCTGATTAGAAAAAATTACTACCTCCGTTTTTTAATAGATGACACCGTTGACTTTTTCTCACATGTTTGACCATTCGTCTTATTTAAAAATTTTATGCGAATGTATGAGATATAAATCACACTTAAAGTACTATGAGTGATAAAACAACTCATAGCAAAATAAATTATAATTACATAAATTTTTTGAATAAGACGAATGGTCAAACATATGGAAAAAGTCAATGGTGTCATTTATTAAAAAATGCAGGGAGTATTTCGTTTTGAGAAATTTTTAGTTGGAAGTTTGAAACTTGTCGGTTCTCTTTTATTTCCCTTTCGCTGTAAGACGGTCAAGACTCTGTAAGACGGTCAAGACTCTGTAGCGTTCTCATTTCATTAATGAAATGGGAGAGAACAGCCCATTCATCCTACCCCCTTCAAGCCGCATCGTGTGTGAGTTCCATCCAAATCTTATCCAAATATTGTGTTGTACGTAGAAGTCAGCGGTCACCGTCTTTAACAGAGCCGCTCCCCGCTGAAGCCTTTCTTGTGCGTTCACCGATCTCTGCAGAATGGACCAGAGATTGATCCATGAGCAAACAACATAAATCAGCTCTAAAGGGTCTTGTGTTCTTTTATTTTTGAAACATGCAGTATTTCTGAACTTCCATATAGTCCAATCAACAACTGCAATTCTCACTACCACAAAATTTTTCTCCTTTTTTTAAGACAAAATTTGCTACAAGACATGCAAAAAAACGCGTAATTAGCTGAGGAACATCGAGAAAACGTGAAACTGCCCGAGGACACTGCAAAAATTGTGTAATTGGCCGTAGGACACCGCACGCATTATTTTATTATTTCCCGGTTAAAAGTTGTGAGTATTTTTTTGAAATGCCAAGACTGCCCCCAATGGCAGTATATTCTCTTCTTCTTGTTGTTGGTTGCTGAAGCAGTGGCAGCGGAGCGCGTCCCGCATCCGATGTCCGTCCCAGCTCGTTGGTCGTTGTCGAATCTCCATGGATGCATGGTGTCGTTGAGCACATTGTTCGACAGGTCAAATAGGGAAAACAGGAGGAGGTGACGACGACGTTAGCGGGGATGACGCCGGCGCGTGATGTGCTCCTCCGTGACTCCATCCCGATGTGAAGGACAGAGATTAGGGACGTGCGCGTTCTCGCACGGAGGTGGGCCACCTGCTCGGTGAGGTCGTCAAGGTGGCGCTGCTTCCACATCCACGACCGCCGCACCGACTCCCCTGCCGCCGACACCGTGCTCCCCCCACTCCCACTTGAAGAAGCCATCAAGAACCAAACAATCAACGGGGAGGTGGATGGCCACGGCGTCACCACCAGACGCCCGCCACCTAGCCGCGCCCACCGCTGCTTGCCTCCTAGCTACGCCTGCCGCTGCTCGCCACCTAGCTACGCCCGCCGCTGTTGCTCGCGCCGCAGCCCACCTCCCACCCCTGCACGCCCTGTGAGAGAGAGAGGAAGAGGGGAAGGGGATGCGCCTAGTCACCGCACGCCGGCGCCTCCCCCATCGACTGCCCACGTCACACTCCTCGCCCCATCGCGCGTTCCCGGCGAAGTCAACAGGAAGGGGAAAGAAGGAAAGAGAAGGAGAAAACCAAGGAGAGAGAAAAGGGGCAATCCGGGTATTTAGAAAATATCTCACCTCTTTTGACCTGAAAATAATAAAATAATGCGACCAGTGTCCTGCAGTCAATTACACAATTTTTGCAGTGTCCTCGGGCAGTTTCATGTTTTCTCGGTGTCTTTCAGCTAATTACGCGTTTTTTGCGTGTCCTATAGCAAATTTTGCCTTTTTTAAAAACCATGAACCCACCTCGCAAACAAGTGATGTATACTATGGATTGGTTTCAAATCAAACAAACAGCTCACTATATTCCAAATGAGTATGGCAATTGGTCATTCTAGTAAAAATGTGCTGGTGGCTAAGGTGATGGGGAAGGGCTAGGGTATCTAAGATTCAGGTCTGTTGTGGATAGGAAACATTTGGAGTGGGTTAAACTAATCAATCTTGTCGGTCAATTGAACTGACTGGGGAGGAGGATAAAGTGGTCTGGAAATTGACTAAGGCCTTGTTTAGTTCGCGAAAAGAAAATTTTTTGGTGTCACATCGGACGTTTGACCGGATATCGGAAGGGGTTTCCGGACACAAATGAAAAAACTAATTTCATAACTCGCCTGGAAACCGCGAGACGAATTTGTTAAGCATAATTAATCCTTCATTAGCACATGTGGTAGTAGCACTTATGGCTATTCATGGACTAATTAGGCTCAAAAGATTCGCCTCGCAATGTCCATGCAAACTATGCAATTAGTTTTTTATTTTATCTATATTTAATGCTCCATACTTGTGTCCAAAGATTTGACGTGACGTTTTGGGAAAAAAAATTTGGTAACTAAATAAGGCCTAAGAATGGTATCTTCACTGTTAAATCATTTTATAAAGTAATGATGATTCAAAATACTGGCTTTCAATTTAAGAATATTTGGAAATTTAAAATCCCTGCCAGAGTGAAGGTTTTCCTGTGGCTGATGTTGAAAAATAGCATTTTAACCAAGGATAACTTGCTAAAGAGGGGTGGAAGGGGAAGGAGGCTAAATGTCAGTTCTGTTTTGAAAAAGAAATTGTGGCATTGGAGCAATTAGCTCTTTTTCAGTGGCATACTCGGCATACTACCAAATAGGGTGCCTAGGAGTGACAAAAGAGCAATTGTTCCTTTTTACTAAGAGAAACATTATACAAATTAGGGAATTGTTTAGCTAATGGTCTTCCTCCCAGCCAGCTATCCTCCCAAAACAAAGTTCTTTTGCCATTACCCACATTCTTCTCACATAACATTAAGAATCTCTCTTTAACTTTCATTAACCCCCTCCAAAATTGAGAATCTCCAGGTCTTAGCTTTTTCTGAGATAAAGTCTTTTGACCTAGATACTTAGCTAATATCAAATCTTGCCAAATGCCTTTCTCATTTTTTAGGCGCCAAAGCCATTTACCCAACAGAGCAACATTCATGCATCCTGAATCTAGGATCCTAAACCCCCTTGATCCTTAGGAGTGCAAACAGTTTGCCAATTAATAACTAAGTGATACTTCTTGACCCCTTGATCCTCTTACCGTAAAAAATTAGATCTGAAAAAATCTATTCTTTTCTTTACTCCTTTTGGCAACTCATAAAAGACATCATGTATAACGGCACACTGCTAAGACTTGCATTTATCAGGGTCAATCTCCCACATCCCAAGAGTTTCCCCTGTCAACATCTTAATTTTTTCTCAATTTTGTTTTCAGTAGGACTCCAATCTACACTGTGAATTCTCTTCTTATCAATTGGACCCCCAAATATTTCATGGGCAATATACCATTTTTACAAGTTAAAATCTGACAATTTACCACTTCTTTTTCTTGGGCCCCTCCTAAACAGAACAGCTCACTTATGTTAGTGAAACGCCATAGATTAGTGAAATGCAACCCTTCCCTTCCGCCTGTAGATTCGACGCCCCGATTTAACCTTCCCTTTCGCTTCTGCCCTAAGGTGTACATGGCGGCCGCACTTTGTGCCATGGTGGGCGCCGAATATTGTGGCGTGCTTGGAACCCCGCGCGCTCGCATCTCCCCTCTATTGGGTCGGATCTTACGGGCCGCTTCCTCTGGACCAAACAATTCAGTAAGGTTATTTCAAGTCTTGTCACATCGGATATTTGGACACTAATTTAGAGTATTAAATATAGACTAATTACAAAACCCATTCCATAATCTTGGACTAATTCGCGAGATGAATTTTTTCAGCCTAATTACGTCATGATTTGATAATGTGATGCTATAGTAAACTTTTGATAATTATGGATTAATTAGGCTTAAAAACTTCGTCTAGTGGATTAGCTCTCATTTATGAAATTAGTTTTTTTATTAGTCTATGTTTAATACTCCAAATTAGCATCTAAACATCCGATGTGATAGGGACTAAAAAATTTGGGACAATTTCGTTTTTGCCCACACTTTAATCTCTAATATTGATTTTGTCCCTACTTTTTAGGGTTTTCGTTTTTGCCCCCACTTTTTTTTGAACGGAAAGATACTTTTGCCCCTGTTTTGGATGGAGGAGTTAATGGTGTTAAATAGGACTATATACCCTCTCCCATATCTATTCATTAATTATGTTTTTGCCCTCAATCCCTCATTAGCCGGAACAGAAAGTTGAGATTTCTCATGTAGACCTAGAAATAACAAGAGTTCACCAGAAAGCTAAAACGTCTATATAATGCAACGTTGTACGTTA